GGCTCCAGAGTTTGGCTTAGGCGAGCTCTGTGATGGTCTTCTGTGCTGAAGGATACCCTTCTTTCCCTGCTTCCAAGCTGCTCTGTCTCTTCTATGCCAAAAAATCTACCACCAGGAATTCTACCTTTTTCTCTCCTTTCTAGCAACCTAAACTCACCTTCCGTCTCTCTTCTTATTGCACTTTCCTTCGTTTCACGGAATATCTCAGAAGCTGAGCCATTCTGCCTGTTTCTATGACTAGAAGCAGAAGAAAAGTTGTTGGGACCGTATCCTTTCACAGCAGAATTAAGTGGATTGTTAGTATCGGGTTCTTCTTCAATTTCCTGAAGATGATGATACACTGGAGTTCTACATTCTCTCAAAACCTCATTTCTTTCAGTAATATGTTCTTCTTCGGGAATCTCCTTGAAATTGTCCAATTCTTGAGACGCTGATCGAACAGCTGCATCAAATGATAATGCATGGTGGTCTTCATCATGTCCTGGATTCAATTCCTTTTCAAACATCGGTCTACTTGATGTCTTTAATGCTTCCGGAGAAATTTGCTGACGAGTTTTTCTGCCAGCAAACCAAATTGGTGGCGATGGAGAGGCCACATTGAGTTTGCTTGCATGACCAGCTTTATCTGAACCCAGTGGACTCTGACCTAAATCAATCCACAGTGAGTTATCCGACGATTCATCTTCACTAAATACAGGGCTTTTCATCACCTCCCCAACAGAAATACTCTCAGTGTCCTCAAATACAGTGCTCGCCCCATCCCTATCAGAATTGTTATCATGTTCCATTTCACTTCCAATTACATCCCTCACCTGTGCAGATGTAAACACACCAGAAAAGGCAGGCAACTGAGATCCAGGACGAGTTTCCGAGTTAACTTCAATCCCACTGACTTCTTCATCCTCAACAAATCCAGGAAAATTATCCATTGAATCACTCAAGTACAGAGGAAACATGGGTGTAATTTTCACTATACCCGACCCGGTACGTCCAGACTGATTCTGAAGGCTTGACATCACAGATTTCTTGATTAAAAGACATCCAAATCCAGTTGGGTCATAGCCAAACACTCTGTAGAACGAAGTGATGATGAAATCTGGTCGAAATAAAGATAATCCAAGGGAATCCATGTCCTTTGGGCCCAATGACCCAGCATCAAGCAAAACATGCCATTTTTTCTGTTGAGCCAGGGCCATCCATTGATACGAGTACTTCGCACCAGAAACTCTAGACTGCACAGGAAAAACGAAAAGGCCGACAGCGGAATCTTTCTTCCTCTTCCGTTTGTTCAAAATTTGCTTCCTAAGATCAGTTGAACAGAGCTTGAGAGAAGGCCATTTAAACCACGCACTATTAACTTTGGCACCTTTCTCTCTAGCACTCTGAGCCATCCAATTCACAGACTGACTTTCATGATCAAACATGGTCAACAACCTTTTGTTTGTTTGAAATGGATATGATTCAGCTAAAAGTTTAAAGGCCGAGCCACGACTCACGGTAAATACAAGGCCATACTCATTCTCAGGGATATTCAAATAGTCCATTATTCTCATCTTTATATCATGTTCAATGGTACCTTTCTCAGCTCCCCCATATAGAGCGTGATTTCCCAAATTTGCAGTAATCTCAGACAAGCTAAATGTGGACGATTCCCAGTAATGAACAGTTTGTAGCAATGAAAACAATCCAAATCCACAATAGTCGAGACATACCTTTGAATTGGCACCAGAGAGATGCGAGTACTCCTCTCCCCTCAGCTGATCAATCCTCTCTGACGACTGATACTTCGGGTACATCGTGAGGAACTTTGAGAACGCCTCGCCAAGCTCAGGAATGGAGTCCCCAGAACTGAATGTACGCTCAGCCGCAAGGGCAGTGGCTCTAAGAAACTCTGCCTGTGCATTTAGCCGATCAAGTGATCTCGATCGGGCCAAACCCTCATCTTGATTGACCATGGAATCAGAAGCCATGTTTTGGGATTTAACAAGAGACCCATTTTCAGATGCTTCCTCGAGAGCCTCTTTGAGCTTATGCTCTCGCAATTTCCGCAGAATTGAAGGGTTTCTCTTGATTTCTTCTGTTGAATGGTCAGAATCATCTTTTTTTCTGCTCTTTTTGTCCAAGATTAGAGAAGCGCAGTGAGATAATGGCTTCCAAAGTGAGATATGCATCAAAGCCCTTTTTTCCCTTCTACTGTGTAAAATCAATCTGATATGATTGTGAGAAATGTTCAGAAAGCTTAATCAATCAAAGGGGTTGATTTTTTGGTTTAGCCCATCTAACAAGAAACCACAGAAAAGGGAATTCCATTCAAACCTTAATTTCCAAAAAGCAAAAGAAAAAAATAGAAAAAAAAAATAAAGTTTCCACCCGAATAAACCTTTGCTTTCAAAAATCAAAACTCCATGTCTTAAGGAGGGAAAGGGCCAGTCATTTACTTTAAGCTAACAGTCAAACACTGTTTTGAGATTTAGCTGAAAGAACCCTAATATAAATGAACTAAAATTAGACCATGTCAAGAAAACCCCAGATTTGACCTTTCTTGAAGATTAGGTTTAGATGAGGACAACAGAGGAGTAAAAGGGTAACTTATACCCACAGATTTTTGGGAGTGTGAAATCTAGTCAATTTAGTATTTCACTTCAAACTGTTAAGAAAAATTGCAAATTAAGACCAAACAAGAATAGACAGGATATTCAACAAGATTCAATCTTTAACATGATTTTTTTGTCAAACCCCAAAAAAGAAAAATCAAGAAATCCACAAGAATAGAATTATAACCAGATCACAAAGAATTGAACGAGGAAGAGAAATCCTTGGACACACCAATATGACAACAAACTGTTCGAAGAAATGCTTCAGAGGGTCTCGACATGGCATATATCAATGGAAGAAGACCCCCAACGCCTTTCTTCAAACACCTGATACTGATAGGAGCTATGCGCTTTATTTCTCTCTCTCTCTCTCTCTGGCTTTTCCTCAAGCCAATTAAAGAAAAAACCACCACAGCGAATGCATATTTACTTCAGTTGCGAATCCACAAACGTTACCCTCATCGATTACCGTTACCCCACAGCACACCCCAGTTTACTGTGGCATTAGCTATTGTGCTGCTGTTTTCAAGCTTTTTTAACCTTAAATCTTTTTTTTTTCACAAAATTTTATTCTCGAAAAATCTACATAAAATCCAATATTTGTATATAATATAAGCAAATAGTGCGGAAATTACATCAAATCCTGTATTTGTATATCATAATAAACAAATAGTGAAGAAATGACAATTGACTTTCACACTCAATAAGTGATTTGTAATGTTACTAATAAAAATTGTTTAATTAAAATAATTGGACCTACCATTACCAAACACCCTTGTTCTTGTACTAATGGCTCAAAGTCAACTAACGAGCTTACTAGTTTCCTATCCAATAGTCCAACCATTTGCTTTTACTCTTGACTTGTATACAAATTCTATTGTCAATTTAGTAAAATCGGAATTGATCCCTTATTTACAATGAGTAAAATAATCTCCAATCCACCGTGGATAAGAGATCAGCTCTATAAGCAAAATAAAAAATTATGTTTGAGGGAGTATTAGCAAACGACTAGATTATGTTATTGGAATATATAGCCTATCTTTGACCTTTATTTTTTCAAAACTCATTTTCAACTACAAATTCTCTCATAAAAGAATTTTACTCTTAAAATTAAAATTTTTCTTTCTTTTTTAATCACATTTTCCAAAAAATCTATATTTTCTCCCAAAAATAGGGCATAAACAAGGGATAGTTTAACGATTACAATTACATGGTACAATGTGTTCTAATAGATATACCACGAATATGACTAGGTTAATGTCCATGCATGCTTCTATCAAGTACTAAGCATTATAGAGAGAGAATTATGAGGTGTTATATGGTGCGTTGTGAACATTTAAGATTGATGATGATGATAATGATAGTAGTAGTAGTAGTAGTAGTACTAATAATAATAATAATAATAATAATAATAATAATAATAATAATAATAATTAACACGATAAAGAAAAACATGTGATAAGATTGGTTAACTATTCAATCCAATTATTCTTAATGCAACATAACAAATGTAGATTTAGTGAAAATTTATTAAATTTATGGCCACATCTATATGTATATTGGACAAAAGTAAAATGTGTCCTATAATAAAATACATTGGAATATTCTAAGAGTGGAAATGATGTATTAGAGCAGTTTGAACCAAGATTATTTGTAGTACCGTTAGTATGTCACGATCTATTCTAATTTGAAATTTATCATCAATCTATTGTTATTTTTAGACAAAATTATAATCAATTCATTTGAGCTTTGATACGAATCCCGTAAATGAGTGAAAATTGCTTCCAAAGCCACAAGTATTTATAACTATCTTAGTCACATTGTCCGACGATCTAAGTTCATTGATTAAGTGACTAATAAAGAAGGATAGAACTCCGGAGAAGATATAGACAAAACAAGTCAGTGTGGTGGAACCTAGAACATCAGGTGCACAACCTCGTTCCAGTAGTCGTAAATGAAGAACATAGCTAATATTTAGATAAATATATACGTCAAACTTCAATTATATAAGGAATAAAGCATCTCCATTAGATTAAAATAAAAACAATACACATTCAAATTAATTAATTTATTAATTTCATTATCTTGCTTATTAATTAAATTTGGTAATCCTAACATCAATAATTTTTAAAGGATTAGGGTAGTTGTTAGGCTTTTGTCATTTGGCTTGGGACTAGATGAGGACTAAGATTATTAATATTATTAATTATATAGAATGAAAAGAAATGGAGTACGTTAAAATTAAATATTTTAGGGTTCTAGGCCAAGTTTGGAGCTGGATTCTTCCACTTGTACATAACCGATTTATAAAGTTTTGGTCAATCAATGTATAAATTTCCACGATGGTGTGAGATGTCCCAAGATTTTGTTTGTCCTTGTATAGTTTTATATTTGAGTTTTATCTTTAAAAAAATCATGTCAAATGTAGTAAATGCCATTTTCACCCCCAGTTTACATAATTTCTTATATATTGACCAGGCTTATTGGCACACACTCCCATTGGCCCATATGACCTATGAGGTCCAAAAGACTCCCTTGCGGTCAATCCCCATTATTATCGTCGTTAATTCCACTTAAAGGGGCCAAAATGTTTACTTTCAAAAGGGCAAAACCGTCTTTCCATTCCTCACCACGTATTAAGGTCCTGTTCCCATCTACTAAAGCTGTCAGATGAAGTTGATTCGAGCTTTTTCTATGTTATACTTAAGTACCTTGCTATTTGTACATGGTGATTTACACTTTAGTTGACACGGCCCCACCACTCCTCTCACATGAGGAGGTCGACTTCACGCATTTGGACGTGAGACCCGACCTCAACCATGTGAGAGGTCGGGTGGGGCCGTGTGAACCAAAGTGTAAGCCACAATGTACAAATAGATTAATCTTATACTTAAAGGTTGAACCCCAACCTTGAGGGCCCCCATCGTCTCCCTCTAGAGTTTTGTGAGGGAGGTAAATCGTGAGATGTGCCCCAACAGATCAGGGAACAAGAGCTGCTTGTACATTACTCCTACAAGGAGTCAAATTCCATATTTCAGGAATCGAACCCCCACACTGCGGTTGTCAGCAATGTTTTCAATGTTATACTTGATTATACTTGTAAAAGAATGTTAAAATGAAACAGAGTTTGCTTAAAGGATCCATAGTCGACGATTCCAGGAGAAGCACATAGGAATCCATTCATGATTTTGGGGTATCTGTCTCATTATTAACATTGATATTATTGTCAATGCAACTATTTCAATTCTTGTTATTCTTCTTGTTTATTCATTCCAAAGATTTTGTTGTATTCACTTGTTGTATAAGCAATTATGCAAGTTGGCACTGTCTATTAGTCAATAATGTACTGCAATGCAAAGTAACATTTGAATCTGTTACAACAAACTTTAATGAATGCATGCCTTCTACTAGGACAAAATGAAAGAATGACAATAATATCCTTTCCTAAATACACACTATCAATCGATTCTGTTATACTTCAACCCGCAAAAAAATGCATAAACCCATCGATTAGTAGAAATTTATAATCATCACGATCACGTATAGACAGTTATGACATAAAGACATCATCTTCCACAAAATATCCCGAGGAAATGATATTTTTCTAGCCTTCAATGGCGGAAGGAATTTAAATGATAATCCAATTTCTCCAATATTAGAGAGCTCCATAAAAAATATATTACATTTGGCGTTCAAGAATATCTCCACTTCAAGCTGCAACCAGTTTGATGTGTCTTTTTCTGTACCCTTTCTATGCAAGAATTTTGCACTTGCATATCCATATTTAGCTTCTACATTATGATTGCACAAAATTGTTCTCAGCTCTATTCTCAGCATTTTCCTTCCTGTATGCTTGTAACCTCTCTTTCAACTTTTTGCTCTGCTCAAAATTTGCCTTTCGCTTCACAGCTTTCTGCAAAAGGGTTTTCTTTTGCGTCATGGTGTATTGGGACGATTTTTTTCATAATATTTATCAGAGAATTAAATTAAAATTAAAGTACACATATGTATTCACTAAGAAACTTACTTCCTGGCGGAAACAATTGTCAAGCTTTATTTTCAGATCAGTGCAGTCACCAAAAAATTTACCAATAGGATGCTCCGTATGGCACTTTTGGAACAGTTCAATAATCTGCACCAAGCAGTTACATATAAATTACAAGGCTTGCAGGCTTATCACTGTGCTAAACAAACAGAAAAGGCGATGAAGTTCGATAGAATTCTTCCTATCCTACACTGGGGAAGCACTATCCAACCAGCCTTTATCATAAAAAATGAATGGTACTTTAATGTGGTTATCTCAGTTTAAAGATTCTAAAACCAGCACCCACAAGATGAATCTCCTCAAATAGGTTCAGTATAGTGAATAATGTATTGTACTTGCATCATAAATAAGGCGACAGCAACAGAAATGGACATTGTTTGACGCCATGAATGCAAAAACACACTATGTAAAATCTCGAGAAAACATAGGTTGTTCTATTGATGATGAAAATTGAAGAAAATCTAACGTGCTTACACATTCTATATCAACTTAAATTCATATGATATTAGGCCAAAGTTGCAGAAAAGTAGCCAATAATTCATAGGGAAGATGTAATCAATTATAAGCAACTCACATGCATAAAATAAACTCACTCAAGGTAAATACAAGAGAAGCAACAAGATGGAGAAACTTACGTCTGCACACATGGGGTGCCTATGGATTGTTAGAGGAGGATGCATCTTCTTATTTCCTATGTATTCAAACCTTGCAAGTATACTGCAGAAAATTAAACAGAAAAGAAAATCAGTATATCTTCATTGTCCGTTCTCTGTCCCTTAAATTCACTCCCCAACAATGAAATACCTAGAATTTTTTAATTTCAAGTAACATTCAGATTTTGGACCAGCATATCTCCTTTAATTACCTTCATAACTTTTGATTCGAGGGGAATGTAGATATATATATAAACTATATGACATTAAAATCCCAGACAGGGGCGGCGAAAACCATAAAAAACCGCATAAAAATTCAAGAGAAATGTTGTCGAAAAAATCACTGTTGTTAGAGGTAGGTTACCATCAAGAAACAACAATTTTGGAAAAATATATAAACCATGGGAAGTTGAGTTAAAATTAAATCATTCGCACAATCAGATCGACCGCGATTTCAACGTATAAAGCCCGTTTTTACACTTAGAAATATCAGATACTACCTTCCAACTTTGTTGATGAAGAAATTGAGCAGAAATCACTGCTATACTAGTTAAATTGGCGCCAAGGGTGATGAAAATGTCCCCCTTTTTGCCTCTGCCCCAATATTTAGCGTAATCCGAGGAAGAAGAACTTAGCAGCTGATCCCCTTTGCTCTGCGAATAAGACTAAACAGGCAATTCTAATTCATTTTTCGAGTTAATTACCCCTTTTGGTCAAATAATCAATTTATGTCAATGTTTTCGATCACTCACTATAATTTAATATGTCGAATTTTGACCATTAAACTTATCTAAAAGTTAGAAATTACTCACTTGCATAATATCCATTACAAACCTTTAACGAAAGTAGTGACGTGACTAACAGAATGTACATGTGGCATCTCGTCACATAGTTAACAAATTGCTAGTCTTAGATTACTCAACAAATTTTGAGAAATGTATTCAATTGCTCAATGAACTGTGAAGCGGTCGAATTTTGGCCACTAAAAATTTAAAGCATCTTTAATTGCTCACTAAACTTTGAAAACGTCTTCGATTGTTCAATAAATTTTGAAAAAATCTTTGATTGCTCTTTGACGTTTGAGGTGATCGGATTTTGGATACTAAACTCATAAAAATGACGTCAACCTATTATTCATTAAAAAAATGTACTAGGACACAAGTCACGTAAAAATAATAAAGTGGACAAATGAGTCCAAATTATCAATTCCACGACAAATGATTACTCAATTACTTAATAATGAAATTTAATTTTAATGTATTTTTGTAGAATTTTAAATTATTTTCATCATTTGAAAAATTCAAATTTATTTTATGTTTAGTTGTTAAAATTAAATTAAAATAAAATATAAATTTTGCAATGAAAACCACAAAATTTTTTGGATAAGTTTAGTGACCAAAAATCGAATGTTTAATTTCCACTTTTAACAAATGAAGTGATCAATAAAAAAAAAATTCTTAATAAGATGTTTAGAAATTTAATTAATTTCAGAATTTTAGATTTTATTATATCTATGATATTATTTCCAGATGTCACAAAGATCATATTTGAAAATCGGTCACATTTACATGAACAATACACACATGAAGTTGTTACAATTCTACGAGCTATTATTATTTATTTATTTTTATTTTTTAACTTAGTAGTGCCGTTATTAGGTAAGCCAACATCTGCAGCCACAATTTATACTTGGTAATTTCCAAATGGGTGATTCTCTCTGCTGACCTTTCTCGACTCTTATGTTACTCTACATAAAAAAAAAAAATGCTATAGTCTTGTTATGTGTACAGAAAAATGCCGAAAAATGCTGTCAGAATTTTCACATAATACATTTCACAGTTTTTTATTCGACGATGGTCCAAAAAAATTGAAAAAGAAGACCAACCAGATGCTATCATTGATGAAATTTTGGCAACACTGCTTTTGTACAAGCAAATAAATTCAAAATGCTAACCTCATGGACGGTTTCGTATAGAGGTGAGTGGGACTCGCGCCTTAGGGCCAATATTAGAGGGGCCCCTAGATTCTAGCCTATTTCATCATTTTTTTTTTCTTTTTGGTAAATTGGGTTCACTACCTTTTTTTTTTAATTAAAACTTTAATAAATTAGGTCCATTCGATTCCGTTTATAAATAAGGCTCAATAAAAAAAATTTCATTGTGGGAATTTCATTTCTAAATTAGATCCATTTCAAATACAACAAAATGGGACAAGCGGCATATAATTTCACAAACTCATGTTGCAGTAATTTCTTAATTCTACTCAACTTATTCATCGCATAGGTAGTATTCAATTTATTTGTTTAAAATAATAGACGTTTCACTAGACTTGGCAAAAATTAACGAAGATCCTTAATTGAAGAGTAAAGTCGAGTTCTTAGCGACATATAAACTTCAAAATTTTGAATTCTTGCTTAGATAATTTGGTTCAGGTTGTTGCAATCAATATTTTTGAGAAAATTCTTCAAATCGAAAACACGAATAATGATGGTGCTATCAACCTCTCACTAGGAATTGTTTCATTTCTCGAAAATTATAGAGAAATTGAACTTGCCACTGTCATGGATAAACCGACAAAAAGGACAAGCAAAGTGGGTATTGAAGATGTATTTTGATAAAAACGTACAATTTGAATAAAGAAGAAATTTGACAAAAGTAGTGGTGATTGGGTAAATCAATCAATTAAAGAATCTTTTAAAGTTGAATACTTTCTTTTTATAATTAATCAAGCTCTGTCTTCTCCAAAATTATATTTGAACAACTTTAAAAATATGAAGAGCCATTTGGATTTTTATTAAACTTGAAAAGCTTAAGGCGTGCAGTTTTTTCCTTGAGAAGTATCGAGAACACAATGGACGTTCGGATATTAATGGAGATGATTTATGCTCTGAGTTACATGTTTTGATGTACTATATACTAAGCAAAACAACGAGAGTAAATGAAGTGCAACAATATTTGAAGACATCTCAAATGCTTATATTACTTACAAAATTCTGTTAACTATATTTTATCTCGAATCAACTGTATCGCAAGAAATACTGAATTGATTGACTATATTATCAATGGAGAAATAAATGATTGAATAGGTAGATCATTCAAATTTCAATAATGTTTCTGCCTCTAAAATCGTAAGATGAATAATATTTAATTGGTGGTTTGAAACATTGTCGTCTTTATTATTTAATTATAATATAAATCATTTGTATAATACATTTTATTTGATGTTTTATTGTTAAATTTTAAATTAACAAGTTAACTATTGACTCCATAATACACTTATAGATTTTACATAAATACAAAAAATATTGGGGCCTAATTTATGATGTTTGATTTAGGCTCCGAAAATCATAGAACTGGCACTGGCTAACCTGCTAAGTTAAGGTTGTGAAGTAGTAGTGAATATTGATGGACACGTGTAATTGACAGAAAAGGCTATTGTGAACTAAAATATTTCATGTGATGAGGCTGAGTAATCCTAAAATTACTAGGGTTACCGAATTATGCTTGTTCTATTGCATATGACAGAGAAATTTTAATTTAAGATAAGATTCACGTTTTGCCTAAATAAGAGTATAATGAATTTGAACATACCCGCCAAAATGAATTCAAAGGTTAAACATCAAACTAACATAACTATAGCAGTAAGAATTAGGAAGTATTTCAAAAAAAAACTTCAACATACCCTTTCGAGAGACGAGAATGAGAGGCAGATAGCAATTTTAAACAGATACAGTGCAATTTTTTATTACGTTTTTCTTCTTTCTGTTGATGGAATGCTAGAGACGAGAGTGAGAGGCTGGATTTGGAGGAATTGTTGAATTGGTGAGTGAAAGGATGAGAGCTGCTGCAATGCTTCGACAAGGATTTGGGGAATTGGACTGGATTAGGTCTGACATTTTTTGTTTGAACTTTTTCAAAAAAAAAGTTAAACCCTAACCTTAAGGGTCCTCCACACCTCTGTCCTGAAGCATCGTGAGGGAGGTAAATCGCAGGTTATGCCTTCAAGGATACAGAGTGGAACTTTTGTTTGAACTTTTTCTCTTGGACGTGTGAATTGGAAAGCCTAATAGGCCAATACTTGGAAAATAAATAAATAAAATAAAATAAATAAAGAGGGAAAAAAAAATCATAAATCAAGTTTTAAGTATAACCAATTCAATTTTTAGGTCTTAAGTTTAAAAATGCAAGCAAAAATCAAATATTTATTTATTAATAAAAAATATTTAATAAATTAAATGAAATAAGGTCACAATTACAGAATTAATGATTACATTTACATAATTATATGTCACAACTTATTTATTGATCATATAATTTAAAATTAATTGATCAAAAATTATTTCGAGATCACAAATTAAATATTTTATAGGTCATAGTTTATTTCATTGTTCATAGCTTAAGAAATTTATAGGTCATAATTTATCTATCGATCACATATTTTTAAATTTGTTGATCACAAATTATCAAATTTTAAGGTCAAAGTTTATCTCACCCTGCCAACAACAATAACAAAAAGGACCACTACTATACAACCGTCGCCCACACCACCACCCATAGATCCGTCCCCGCCAAAACACCACCACAAGCATCACCAACAACAAAAACGATCACCACCACACTACTACACAATTGTCGTGTGCACATCAGATAACCACCACACATAGATCCGCCCCTGCCAACAACAACAAAAGCGATCACCACTACGCAACTGTCGCCTGCACCACACCACCACACACAGATTCGTCTCCGATACCACCACTGCCAACAACAACAAAATGATCACCACCACACAACTGTCGCCTACACCACACTACTATACAAACATCTCCTATACCACACCACCACACACAGATTCACCCCCCGCACAACACAATTATAACTACCTCCAGCAACAACAAAATTATCACCACCACACAACCGCTGTCTACACCACACCACCGCACAACCGTCGCCTGAACATCAGATAACCACCCACAGATTAGAATACCTACACCACCACCACCTTATCAAACATTGAAATCCCATACATGGGCTGACCATCGGCTTCAACTCAGAATTGTGAATTGGTATTGCTTGAACCAGGCATATCGGAGCATGTCGTCACTGTCAACATATCCATGCAGAAGCCAGGCAGATGCAACAGCACCGACGAAACCACGAATCGTCACGATTTGTGTGTACTGGCGAAACCACGGATCCAAGCGCAGAGGTGTCAACACTGGAATTGTGCGCAGCTTGCTGCTCCCAATGACAAGCTCCGGTGTGGTCTTTGGCTACGGCGGCCATGTGTGACAGAGAGGATAGAGAGATAGAAAGAGAGGATGGGAAGAAGAGGGAAAATAGGGGAGAAAAAATTATTAGGCCTTTAATTGGGTGGATGGAATAGGGTGAGAGTGTATAATTGAAATTTATTAATATTATTATATATATTAAAATATAAAATTGTTACCTGTTTTTTGCATAAATAAACTTTGAACATTATTTTTGAGATTCAATCTTTAAACACGTAATTTTCCCCCACATCTGTCCCCTGGTTTCTAGTCCATATTGTGGTGTTGCCTTTGTGGAGTAGGCTATCAACTGAGCCCATAAAAAAAACCTCACAAACGGAATTCAATTGGAGTTTATGGATTGATTATTTACTTGCCTCATGTTTTTTGCATTTGATTTCATATAATA